ACATATGGTACTACGTGTAAATACTACATATTTGTCCTGCTGCAGCTGAGGAGCATATAATCATTCAGTTAGTAACATAGTTTTCTCTTTTGTCTGATGTCACAGCCTGAGTTACTTTCAGCTGATGTTATTCACACCATATACGCTACATTCATATAATTAACACATGACTGCAGACAGATGAGCTTTGTCCACCTGACCTGAGTCTTTCACTGCTCTCCTGCTGATGGACCTGAGTGACCCTCACAGGAAGCTTCTCTCAGCTGTTTCCTCTGTGATGTTCTGAGTACAGAGCAGGTTTCTGTCTGAGGGGAGAACATGGGGTCTGCTTTCGTGTGCAGAAGCCTTTACTGTACATGTGTGTTTGTGTTGTGTTGGTGATCTGAGCTGGACAGGTTCACTGTTACAGATCTGAGCTGATGGTTCATTAGCACGGCACTGTTTCTTTGCTGAAGTGTGTGTGTGTGTGTGTGTGTGTGTGTGAGAGAGAGAGAGAGAGAGAGAAAGGTCATGTGACTGGAAGCACAGGTCTCACCTGTTTCATGTTTCTGTCCTCAGTTTCCCAGCATGCCTCAGGGGTGGAGGTGTATGAGGGGGCGGAGTCTGTTCTGCTTCCCTGTCAGGTACAAGCTGATGTTTCCAGGAGCTCCACAGCAGCAGTGTGGGACCGTGTTGGGCTCAACAACCCAACAGTTCACCTGCGTAGGCAGAAAGGTGACGATCTTGGAGGTCAGAATGATCTTTACCAACATCGAACATCGATGAGAGTCGACGCTCTGCAGACTGGAGACCTCAGCCTCACTCTGAAGAACCCCACAGTCTCTGACAGTGGAAACTACACCTGCACTCTCCGCAGGGCTGGAGAAGATCAGAGCAAAACTGTAGTACAGCTAAAGGTCACAGGTGAGTGGACAGAGGTCAGATTGATGTGAGTTCATACAAACATGTTGATGATGTTCATGTCTCCTGTGTTTGTGTTACAGTACCTCCTCCTCCTCCAGTCTGGCACAAAGTCCTCGCAGCTGTGCTGGTCACTCTGATCATCCTGGCTGCTGTCATTGGTCTGTTTGTGTGCTGTGCATCTAAAAGGATGAAGGACAGAGAAGGTGTGTGTGTGTCCGTGTGTGTGTGTGTGTGTGTGTGTGTCCGTGTCCACAGAGCAGACCAGGAAGTGGAAGCAGCAGCCATCACCTTCACCTGTTACTCAGTCACACATTCAGTCATTCAGTTGTTGTGTTCATCTTCTCAGTAACAATAATGAATCCTGTCTCGATGCGTGCTTTCAGGTAAGTATCTCCCAAACACTGCTGGACTCTGTGGCCTCCTTTCATCTTTCTCACAGCTGAAAATGTGCTGAGGAACTTTCCTCTGTGACATCTTTCCTCTGTGTATTCGAACACTTTGATAGCAGAGCCTTGAACTCACACTGATGGAGCACATTAGAAGCTTCACCCACATCCTGGAGGTTTAACACGGAGCTGCTCTTGTAGATCTGAACTGATTGTCTGATAGCGACGTCCTGAGGTCACATGACTAATGTGACCTCAGAGCACTTTTCCAGGATCAGCTGGTCTGAGCAGCTTCAGTGATTCAGGGTCCTTAGATGGAAGAGCAGATCCTCTGCCACCAATCACAGACCTGTTCCTGAGGTCTGGTGTTCTTCTACAGCTGAGCTGTTACTGACTCTCCACTTTGACCAGCAGCTCACAAACCAGCTTCTTTCAGCACTTACTGCTGTGCTCTGGGGAATCAGTCCAGAAGTGTTTGTTACATAGTAGCAACAGATATTATTTTTCACTTAGTAGCAGCTCATTGCAGCTTAAATGGGGATCAAGATGGCGCCGGTGTCCATGGCTGCTCGTCTGTGGCTTATAGTTTTGTTTGTTTTTATATTGTTCCTGTCA